ATTACTGTAACCATTTTATGGGTACAGTCTTCAGGTATTTAATAATGTTGTGCAGAGATTACCACCATTCAGCCCCATCCCTCTTCTTATCTTGTAAAAGGAAACACTATCCACTTAATAGTGTCCCATTCCTGCTGCCCCTGTCCTGTAACCACCAGTTTATTGTCTGCCTTTATGATTTTGACTTCTCTAAGTACCTCCTATAAATGGAATCAGATACTATTTCTCTTTTTTATTATAGGCTAATTTTACTTAGCATACTGTCCTAAAGGTTCACCCATGTGTGTAGCATGTTTCAGATTACCCCTCCCTTTTTTTTTTGTACTGAGGATTGAACTTAGGGGTATTCTACCACTGAGCAACAACATCCCAAGCCCTTTTTAAAATTTTTTATTTTGAAATAGGGTCTCACTAAGTTGTTTAGGGCTTTGCTAAGTTCCTGAGGCTGCCCTTGAACTTGAAATGCTCCTGCCTCAGCCTCCTGAGTTACTGGGATTATGATTATAGGTGTGTGCCACAGCATTTGGAAATTTCCTTCCTTTTTAAGGTTGCACAATATCGCATTATATGTATATACTAAATTTTACTTATCCATCCATCTACTGATGGACACTTGTTTTGCTTCCATATTTTCGATATTGTGAATAATGCTGCTATGAATATGGGTATATAAATATCTGTGTTCCTGCTTTCAGTTCTTTTCAGTATATACCCAGGAGTGGGACAGATGGATCATGTGACAATTCCATCTTCACTTTTTGGAGAAACTGCCGCACTGCTTTTCATAGTAGCCATATCATTTTACATTGTCATTAACAGTGCATAAGAATCCCAATTCCTCCACATTTTTGTCAACTCTTGTATCTTCTGGCCTTTTCTGACGTAGTCCTTCAAATGAGTGAGGCAGCATCTCTCTGTAGTTTGTATTTGCATTTCTTTAGTGATTAGTGATGCTAGGAATCCTTTTATGCACTTATTGGCCATTTGTACACATTCTTTGGAGAAATGTCTATTCGAGTCCTTTGTCCATTTTTGAATCATGTTGTTTCTGTTGTTGAGTCTCTATATATTTTGGATATTATTATCTTATCAGGTATATAATTTATCAGTATTTCCTACTATTCCTACTTTTTATGGTGTTGATGTTATCTTTGTTATACAGTTTTTGAATTTTCACAAAATCCCATTTTTAAAAACGATATTTATTTTTTAGTTGTAGTTGGACACGATATCTTTATTTTATTTTTATGTGGTGCTGAGGATCAAACCCAGGGCCTCGCACATGCTAGGTGAGCACTCTACTGCTGAGCCACAATTCCAGTCCCCATTTGTTTATTTCTAATTTTATTGCTTGTGCCTTTGGTACTGTACCCAAGAAGTCACTGCCAAATCCTATGTTTTGAAGCGTCTGACCTGTGTTTTTTTTTTTTTTTAAGATTATGGGTTAAAGTCATTTAGATCTTTGAACTGTTTTGAGCCCGCTAATTTGTAATGTCTACAGAGAAATATTTCTGAGCAGTATGAACCACTTTCTTAAACTTTTTTTAGGGGGAGTAGTGACAGCACAGACTGAAGTTAAATTCCTGCCTTTGCAATGTCTAGCTGAGACCCTGGTTATTTAACAAAGCCTTTGTTTGCTCGTTGATTAAGCAGGGATAATACCACCTCAAAGGGCTGCTTGGGGAGAGAAAATTAAACAATTCACATAGGTGCTTCATACAGTGAGCCTGGCAGTGTTTTTAAATGGGAGCTGTTTGGGGTGGGCAGTTTAATTCAATTAAGATCCTGGATTCATGAGTGAGTCAGATGGATCCTAGACCTCATTACCAGTCATGTGACCTTGGGATGATCAACTGCCCTCTCTATGCCTTTGCTTCCTGTCAAAGCTTAACAGCAGCAATGCCTTTTCAGATGACTTCAAGGAAAAGAAACTAGCACAGACCCTGGCACAGAGACCTGTAACAAATGGCCTCAAGGAACCATCTTCATCTTGTGCCTCCAACCTCCTAACACCAAATCCACTCTGCACTAGTTAAGTTATATATGTTTCTTGAAAGACTGCCAGACAGGTGACTTTAACTGTCAGCATCTGGCCAACCTGACTTTGTAGAACTCATGGACAGCTCACCTATTGGTACAGTCTATTCAGAGGGGGTTCTCCTTGAAACAGACCTTGGATGACTCCAAGTGTAAGCAGATGTATACCTTCTAATACTGGTGTTATCCTCCTCTGCCATTTTCCTGGGCTCCAATCCTTCTGGCAGGCCAAGATAATCTTTTAAAATGCTGATGAAATCCTGTATTTCTACTATCATTCTCCAGTGGATCTCCCCATCTCCAGTAGGTCTTTTGCCTCAGCAGGGTTTCATGTTCAGTCAGTAGGAGACACTGAGTTAAACCAGGTTTAGTACAGTCATGTGTCACTTAATAATGGGGATACATTCTGAGAAAAATGTCATTAGGTGATTTGGTTTTGCTAACATCACAGAATGTTCTTAGACTATATGGTCTGTGTGTGTGTGTGTGTACACGCCTGTGTGCCTGTGTATAAGCATATATATACACACATACACACATGGATTTGCTGGCATAGAATAATATGAGAGTAAATCAAGTCCAAGAGAAAATGATGCAGTTGAGAGGTGTAAACACAAGATTTTTGAGGCTGCTGCCAGCGTAACAGCATACTACTTTATAGTAAACTTTTTTTTGTAGTTGTAGATGGACAGAATGCCTTTTTTAAAAATTTGTTTATTTTTATGTGGAGCTGAGGATTGAACTCAGTGCCTCATGCATGCGAGGCAAGTGCTCTGCTGTTGAACTACAGCCCCAGCCCTACATTAAACTTTTTTAATAAGTAGAAGGAACACACTCTAAATCAATAAAAATACACTACAGTAAACGCATAAACCAGTAACACCGCTGCTTATTATCGAGTACATGTGCTGACCATCACTGCGTGTGCTACTTCCACATGACTGGCAGCACAGTGGGTTTGTTTATGCGAGCATCACCATAGCACTAGGTAACAGGGCTCTCTTGGCGCCATTACCATCCCGTGGGCCTACTGTCATGTATGCAGCCCTTGTTGATTGCAACTCTGCGGAGCAGCGCTTGACTTATTGACAACTGTGGAGGGATAGCACAGCCTTTATGGTACATGTGCATTTCCAAGGGCGAACCAATCAAGTGTCTTCCCAGAGTCTCTTGACCCATTGTTAGTCTGAGACACAGTGGCCATTCTCCTTGAGACAGAACTGCAATGGAGTCTAGATTTTCCACAACCTCTCCCTACCTTCTGCTCCTTTCTCAGCCCACTTTTGTGTTAATGGCATGGAACTCTTTGCTTTGCCCCAATATGTTGCACCCCTCATTCTTGTGTGTCTCTTCCTGGAACAAGTTCCCTTTCTCCATCTGGTGAAACTGCACTTACCCTTCAAGGCTCAAAATATCCCCCCCAGGACACCTGCCCCTCACGTCATCCTACCTACTCCACCCCCATAGTACACTGTGGGGATCCATTTTAGCAAAGGGCTAAAATTTTGCTTGCATTCTGCCCCCTTTGGGAGGTGAGCTCCTGAGAGGCAGGACTGTGAGTGATCTGCTTTTGCACTCCAGGCACTAGGCCTGTGCAGAGTGAGTGCTCAATAACACTTGATAAAAGCTCACTGAATGTCAGAAGGAGCCATTCAGAATTTTTAAAAAATATGGCTTAAATGTCTTAGGTTTTATAGACTTAAAGACTCTTTATTTCTCAGAACATAAATCCTTAGCATCTGACTATAAATTCTTAGAGGATTTAAGAACATCATGTACTTTCTGCTCTACTGAATACAGAATCTGAGAACAGCAGAGCCAAGGGGCCCTCAGAGACCTGCTGACCCTGCTCTGTCATTTTCAAGATGATGAAACTGAAGTTCAGAGAAGGGAGGGGCTTGCCCAGGCTCAGTCTTCCTGATGCCCAGGCCAGTCCTCTTTCCCTGTAGCTCTGTGGACCACCTGAGCAGTTCCTCAGGGGCCTGGAGGTAACCTATCAGAGATCACAAGCCATGTTCTTCCCCGTGCCTCAATAAGTTGAAGCAAACTTCTCCACAATGGTACCAAAGTGTCCTGGTTGGTAATTATGGACCTGACAGTCATGATGAGCTATGGCATGTATAGAAAAGGCTACAATAAAGCAGCAACAGAATGACACAAGACCCCCCCCTCAAAAAAATAGTCTGGCTGGTGTTCACTCTTAATGTTAAGTGATGAAGTCTTTCAACAGTCACATATTTTTTCAAGATAACTCTGAAGGAACTCCATGATAATTTGGCATCAATATCCAACTTATGTTACCTAACATATTTTAGCAGCTACAACTCTGTGTGATAGATTCTATATGGACAGATCTATGGTGATTGGTAAATTACAATATGTATGAGTACAAATGCTTCTAGGAAATGGGGCTTTATGTAAATATGTGATATTTTACACAGAATCCATGCAACTTACATACACAGGTCACTGTGACTGATGTGTAAACAGATAGACCTTGGAGAACAGTGCTTGTCTTTAAGGTACTAGGGCTTACTTCTTCTTTAAACAATGGATTGTGAAGTGAGAGTCAGAGGCACCCTCTACATCTTGAGGCACGTAAGCAACACAGCTTTAAAGGAGTTAACACGTTCCTACCAGAAGTCCTAACAAATTGAATCTTATTTAATTAGATATTGTATTTGGGGGAGAAAATGAAATAAAATTCTTTCATTAACTAAAAACCAAACTCCCTTAAAGGCAACAATATGTTCCTCTCTGTCAGGACAGAATGGAATGAAATCTTTATTTTAATTGGGGTCAGATGAGGAGCCATTTGGCTTCAGATGCTTTGTTTATCAGCCCTGAGCTTTATGGCTGAACCGGAACGTGAAATATTCCATTACACAACCGTTCCACTTAAAAGCCCGATTTCCCAACGATTTTTCACATGTTAAATGCTGTAAATATAGCCCAAACAAGCTTTGAAATTTAGAAATAGAATATTTAAAGATTCTTTAGTGACATGATGCTCCTGGATGGCTTTGGGTCTGAGATGCTGTTTCTTCTATCCAGCACTGTGGCCTCTCAGACAAGTGCTGGGATCAGGAAAAGCAGGCTAGGAAAACCATCGGCAATGTGGCTGCTTCCAAGCATGAGGAAGTATGCCCCCTTCATGCACCTGAGCTGAAAGGTTCCAGATACAACAAGCTCATACCAGATACAACAAGCTCCTCTAGGAGAAAACAGTGAGGTAAGTAAGAGCAAGATGTTCTGCATTAGAATTCTAATCCTAACACTTCTCAGCTGGGTGATCTTGGGCAAGTCACTGAGCCTTTCTGTGCTTTACTTGTTTCAACTGTACAGTGGGAAAAACAACCTTCGAAGGATTGATGAGAGGATTAAATGAGTAACATGTAAAGTACTTTAAGCAGTGCCTGGCTACATAAGTACTGCTTTTGTTGTACTACTTAAGTATTGCTGTTATGAATTTTAATACATATTTCCCTATTTATCCTCATAACAACAACTCAGGTAATTAAATCCATTTCGCAAATGAACAAACTGGTTCCAGAGGGTAAATTCCTTACTTGGGGTCACTGCCAGAAAGTTATAGCAGGAGAATTTGATAACCCAGGGTTATTTTAGGTTCAGGCTTCTTTTAGGGCAAACAGAAAAAACACATATTCAAACTTCAGAACTCAGATGGCTCAAAATTTCTATATGTTCTTTAAAGAAGAAACATATATATTTTCATATGAATGACTGGGCTGAGAGGACCAAGTGCATGACCACTAGTGCTTTCTCTTAAGAGACCCAGAACCTCTGTCGAGGGAATTCTAAGCAGATCTTATCTATCCTCAGAAAGATGGCACAAGTCATTTGATAGAGTAAATGATTCAAAATTTTAAAATCTGCATCTTCACTATCATTGAGGATAACAATAGTCACAATTAAGTATATTAACTCATTCTCTATGCATTTATGTGCAACGCTCTAGGCTGAAAGCCATTCAAGTTGGTTATGTGAGATTTCCACTTCTTCCCAAATGAATTAAAGCAGAAAAATATTAATATAGAAAAGATTTTTTTTGGTCTTAAAATAACTAGTGTTCAGAGAGTCAAAAAACAGTTTCCATTGGTACTGTGAAACTTCATTTGGCTTTATTCAGTTCCTCTTAAAATGTATTCACTCTGAAAACAACTTTCCTTTTATCTTTTCAAGTTCTAGCATCAAAATCCATCTAGAGTTTCAGGATTCTTTTTCAAGCACATCGGCAATGGGTTAATGATGACATTATGTGACAGCTCCCAAATCATGAAGGCAAAGTGAGATGGAGCTAATCAAGGAAATTGCCTCAGTGACACTAGGCAGGTCCAGGGCCAATGTAAAATTTTGGCAAAAGCCAATTTTTTTTTTTAACTTTCATTTTTGGTGATAACAGTGGCATGATATTGTGTACTCTTGAGAGTCAAATTCCAATACATCTTTGAAATTTGCATTCACACATGCTTACAAAAAATACAGCCATTTTAAATTAAATGCATTATTCATGGTTTGTAAATTCCAAGACGACACCCATGAAGTTCTCTGTATATGTTTTCCCATCTTTAGTGAAATGCTCTGTTCTAGAAACTGTAATAAAATGAGCTGCTTCTACTATTTCACAGCAGGTATTTTGATTTGATAATAATCGCTTTTCTTTACAATTTTAATATAATTGTGCCATGATCTTTTGACAAATGAGAAAAGACAAGTGGACATCCACATGTAGATAATTCTCTAATTGCGCATCTCCAAGTAAGGAAAAATGCTTGTTTTAAAAGTTATTGATTCTCTTAACCACAGAATTCAAAGCGAAGGTGGCACAAACATCTAAATAAATATCAAAGAGGTGTCAAAGGTAACAAAGGAGGGACCAGGTGAAGTATGAAGTGTTAATTGTATTTTAAAAAATATAAAAGAATAGAGGAAAAAAGATGGATATACTGAACTTCCAATTATCATAATGTTGTCTTCTTCCTAACAGATTTTTCAAAGTTGAAAAAAACATTGAAGTCAGAGGAATTCAGAGCAGTGTATTCCGGCTATGTCCTTCAAACATCTCATACTCTGTGTGCACACGGTTTATTCAAATACAAAGTAAAATGATGACTTACAAAGTGCAGGTTTACATCACAATGTATCTTCAGCCCCCAAAAGACAGAAGGAATGGAACACGAAACAAAGAGTGAAGAGGGAAAAATCTGCCCTTTTGCATCTCCCTGATAGGGTACTGGGGTCCTGCCTCTGATGTGAGCAGGTGTGGCACACCTGAGAAGCCTCACACTCAAACCTGTGGCTGCACACGGGGGGTGGGGGCGGATTGCAAAATCGAGAGACCCGCTGGACAGTGATCATGCCTGAATTGGCCAGCTTTGGCAGACAACAAGGCAAATGCGAGAAGGCCCAACCGTGTAGAAGAGGTTCGCCAAAAGAGACACCCCTGAGGTGACAACCTGCTGTCTCGGACAGCACATGAGATGTGCAGTCAGATGAGTCTGTCTTCTGATTTGCCACCATCTAGCTCACTAAATCTGTGTGAACCTGAGGTTCACTCCCCTCTGTGGAGCAGGAACAGAAATCCTGGTCATAGCTGCTGGGAGGATCAGGGTCTAGCAGCACAGTGTCTTCCACATGGGAGGTGCAGGATAGGGGTAACGCTCAGTTCTGCCCCATCTCCCTTCATGGCCTGGTTTTCTAGCCTCTTCTCTAAGCTGCTGATGGATGGCACACCCCTGAGGAACAAGCCCGGGGCTGGCCCTTTACTACCCTTGGTGGCACCAAAAGTCTCTTTAGGTCTAGGTGAGCCCACAAAAGATAGGTGTCTCCCGACCCTGCAGAGGCAGCCAGGTTTTCCTTCCAAATTCAAGATCTACCATATCAACTGTACACCAGGGGCCGCCATGTGCATGCCCCTCCAACCTCAAACTCCAGCTTCCAGCCCACTGCTTTCCCTTCAATTGGCCTGCACGTTCCTGTCCTTGGCCAAGGAAATCTCCACTCAGTTACCAGTTGCATTCAGCAGTCAGGGTCATCTCCAATTATTTCATCTTCTCACTTCTGAGAAGCCACCTCCTTCCAGAGGAACCATCCGGCAAACAGTCTACAGCCATCTCTGTCTCCTCACATTTTATCACTCTTCTCCTGAACCAGCAAGATTGCCTCTTCCAAGACTCGGCACCAAAGTTCAGAGAAATGTCGGTACACTGCATGCCTCCCCTGAGCCCCAGCAACACTGCCCAGGCCCTGTGCACTCACCTCCCCACCATATGGTCTCCCTCTTGTCTCTCTTGTCCTACTGTGAGCTCTTCAGAGGCAGAAGCTATGCCTTATCGATCTTGTGCTCCTGGAATCTTCCCCAGATCCAGGCAGCGACTGGGTGCCGAGGACAGTGGGGAGAATCTGTTGATCACATCTCTGTACACATTATACACAAATAAAGCTAATCTAATAGAAGGACACATGGAATGGGATAATCAGACTGTGAGTGCAAAGGGGCACAGGCCCAACAGTGTCCTTCACAAGAAAAAGCAGTGGGAAGACCACTGTGGAGTACTTCCCACTTTACCTAGCTTGCATGTATATCCATCTGCTATTTTTTTGTGAACAGCAAACACATGGGATGGGCAGAGTACAGATTATTACTCCCAATGTACAAGTGAAGGTGCAAAGGAGGAATGTTATCTGTATCAGAACATACAGTATAACTGGGAGATATGGCCCTGCCTTTTGGACTCCACACTAATGACCTTTCCACCAGACCATACCACTACCCATAGCCTGAAAGAGAGAAGATCCTAGTTCTACTCATAGCCTGCTGATTATGTCTAAGAACAAAGGTTGTGCCTTGATTTTTTCCTTCTTCCCAGAATGGAGGGAGTGGGGTTTAAAGGCAAGGCTTTTCACTGATAACAGATAATAACAGATTGCTAATAAAAGAACATTTTAAAGGTGAACAGGGTGCTTAAGAAGGAGGAAGCTCCCTGGCACCAGTATGCAAGAGAGATTAGAAACTCTTTGGGAAGTGTGTGTGGGGGGGTGCTGTGCAGGAGACTTGAGCATGGAACAGGTGACAAGGCCACAAATCCTTCCAGTTTGAGATTCTCAGATATAAAACATGACTTAGGACAGTAGTGTGATCTCAAAAATAGGCCAGGAGGCAAGCTGTGCAGAAGGCCCATGATTCCCTCCTCTTCCTCTCATTGCTAAGCCCCTACTCACCCTGCAAGTCCCCATCTCTGGAAGACTTCCCAAAGTAGAACCCCTCTGCTCTCTTCCAGATGTCCAAGGTGGTCAGACCTGGGCCCAGTCCTGTCTTTGGCATGGGAAGGGTGGCCTTTGGAAGCCACGGTGCTCTTCTGGGTGACATAAGGATTGGAGGGCTAATGCAGGTGATGTGCTCAGCACCACACCTAGCAGAGTCAGTGTTCAGGAAGAGGCAGCTGCCACGTCTGCACCAGGGCTGCTTACTACACAGGGATGAGAAGCTTGTGCCTCTTGACCCTGAATCCTCTCTCATCCCTGCACAGACTGGCTGGTATGGAGTCAGCAGTCAGCTGACAACTGCAGTAGCAGAACATAGTCTGGCTTCAGGACAGACCTAGTTCTCACCCTAGCTCGGCCACTTTCAAGTTTTGAACACGGGGGAAGATCTTCTTCATTCGAAAATGTGACCAATATTAGTGTTTGCACCTCCTCCTTTACAGTTTCCTGTGAGCATTGCAGAGTGCTTTGTGAACAAGAGAGCACCAAGCTGATATCAGCTATCACATGTTGCAGGGCGAGGCTAGAATGGGGACGAGAGACAGAAGGGCTGCTGCCCTGCTTGGCTGGGGGCTGGGGACTGTCTGTGGTCCAGTGTCTCTTGGTTCCCCAAGAAAAACCCAGCAGTTATTGTGCCCTCATGACTTGGGGGTCTCCACTTTGCTTATATGTGGAAGCTGTGTGCGGTCAATCATGCGGGAAACCAAAATCAGAGAGAAAAATGACAAAAGGAGAGATGGAGAAGAATATAGTGGATCGAGTAGGTCAAAGTGTTCCTGGAAAATAAAAGCTCCAAACAAGAACCAGCAGAATGGCAAAAAGGCAAACAGACGATCAAAAGCAAGAGAACAAAATGCAGGCCAGGAAGTCAGTGCCAAAGAATTGATTAGTCAAGCATATGAATCTCTCACGCTGAAGCAGAAATATCACAGCTCCGGCTCCTCACTGTGGAGCCCTCTCCTCATAATGGGAGACATGAAGAGGCCGAAGAATAAAGCAACTTTCATTTTTCTTCCGTGAACGCAGAGGGCCAGGCCCCATGAGGACCTCGCCTTGTGCTGGCTTCGAGGGGGAGCGTGGCCCCTGGCCACGGGAGTGGGGTGCGAGTGAATGGGCTGGCACTTGGTTCACTTCACTTGAAAGCTCAGAGGCCGCTATAGATGCAGATCTCGGGCAAGAACAGCATCCTGGGACTAGGACTTGTAGATTCAAATGAGGAAAGGTGAGTGTCCTTCTCGGCATCGTGGGGACTAGAGTTCCTTCGCATCTTTTTTCAGTGCTCCTTCCTCGCTGCATGGGCCCACTGGCTATTCCAGCAGCCAGCACTGATGGAGCATCACAGACCTCAACAAAGCAGGAGCCAGACACCTACCAACTGAGGTAATGGGAAGATTCCTGAATGTGTGGAGGTAGCCCCTGACAGGGTACACATAATTTTGTTGCAACATTCAAGGACTATAGCTAATTGAAACACTGGAAGGAGGGGCAAATTTGGAGTCAGCAGACATTGGCTCAAATACTAGCTCTGCCATTCATAGGTGTGTGATCCCAGCCAAATTCTTGTTTTCCTAAACTGGAAAATGGGTATAATAATCCATGCCTTTGGGATTGCTGTAAGGATTAAATTAAATGGGATGTGCAGGTGTCTGAAGTATTTGCCTCACTGTTGTGCAATGTGGGTAATCTGAAGCTGCCACATTTAAAAACACTTCTGGTATTCTAGAAACTAGAGAATGACTACTAAACTGTAGTGCTTCTCTGAATGGGCTATAGGAATCTGGATTATTCCAGCTATTACTACTAAAATGTCAGTTTGAGGCCCTGACACCTTGTGGGGTGGCTCTGATATGAGCTCTGGGACTAAGAGGTCAGGGTAAGCTTTTCTGTCAACTCCAATTCCCAGTCCTCCTTGTTCAGCCCACACCCCAGTAAGAATCATCCTGGAGCAGGAAAGGAGCTGAGACTTCACAGGCTTTAGAGTCAAAAACTCAGGTTGGAAGCCACCAGTCCTCTGTAGTAAAGGTCTTTTTTTTTTTTTTTTTTTTTG